TCTCCCCATCCTGACTACAGATGCCTCCACTCTCCTTCTAGTGGAACCATGTGGTTAGTAAGGCTGGACCAGGATAGTGGCAAAAACACCACTCTCCTGCTTCTACCTCTTTACTCTTAAAGCAGGCAAAGTTGTGCCCTTGGAGTGCTACAGCAATCACTAAAGTGGGCAACAGGTAATATCTGGAAAGTACTGTATTTGCAGTCAGATAACCCGAGTTCAAACCCCAGCCCCATTAAGTCACAACTTCTTTAGGTCTCTTTCCTCACCTATAAAATAAAATAAAGGATTGGACTAGACCTCTAAGGTTCTTTTCCAATTTTAATCCTATGAACGTATGATCTTTATTTCAATACCATAAATGTCTCATCCCCTCTGGTTCTACCATATTTCTTTTCCCAACAGTTGTTCTTAACCTGGGGTTATGAATTTTAAAAGTGTAAGCAGATAGATAACTATTTCAATATGATTGATTTCCTTTGTAATCTTACATACTTTATGTTATGCATTTAAGAACATTATCCAGAGAATGGGTCTGTTTTACCCAACTGCACCCAATGGTCCATGACTTAAAGGGATAAGACCCCCTGCATTACAAAGCCATTAGTCCTTTTGCCCAAGCCCGTGAAAGGTTCTTGCCTAAAAGCTTATCTGTCATTTTCTATCCTCTCTTCAACCCAATCCATCCCATTATTTTGAATTAACTTTCTTCTCAGCTGTTTAATTGTGTTGATGGAACATTTCAAGTATGGGCAGATATGCCCAGTAATAGCTGGGGATACTTTTTTTTTTTCTTTCCCACTTTAAGGCTAGATTATTTCATGTCGGAAATTTTTAGATATGTGCAAAATAATCATTTAACCTTTTCAAGAAAAGAAATAACATGTATCAAGACCAATGTAGTGGTATGGAATGGTTTAAGACACCCTTCACAGTTGTATCCTCAACTGCTAAATCTGTGGGATTTTTTAGTTACCAGAAAAAGTCAATATTTACTGCCTTCACCACGTATCTGTCACATTATTCATAGAGGGGCTGGGTTGGAATCTCCTCCTGTTCTGCCACCTTGGGCAGAGCCTTTAAATTCTCTGGGTCACATGTTCCTCATCTGAATAATGAGGTTGGATGGTCTCTGAATCCTCATCTTCTTCCCAAGTGACACAAATCTTTTGAAAGAGTCCATATTGCCAAAAGTCCTTTTCTTTAAAACATTTGTCTTCTGAACTTAGCACGTTACCATGGCCAGCTCATGCTGTTCCTGAATGAATGGAGGCTTACACGGAGGTGCCCTCAGTAGGGCTCCCACTGGGGACCAGAGCAGAAAGCCTTTTGCATCATTTCTAAAAACATCAGTCAGGGCATGGCATAGTGTCAAAATTCAAGTCTCAGCAACATGTTTTCCATCCTACTTTACAAAACCCATAAAGAATGCTTTCTTTGGCCTTTCTGGGGGCCACTTGAAAGTCAGATTCACTCTCAAAACCCTTGGCTCAAAAATTAGGTTTTGCCTTATTTCTACCCAAGTCTATTAAAATTTTTAGTGAAACTGATGGATAAAAATTCCAGTCAAGTTTTCTTCTTTTGGAAAAAAAAAATAAAAACTACCAGCCTATTTGAAATCATTTTAAGAATTTTAATCATAACAAATGTTTTAACAGTTGTCATAAAATCAACATTACCACATATACAAAGGACAAGACATTGGTCTGGCATACAAAAATGCCATATATTAAAATAGGGATCAGTGGGAGAAAAAAAAACACAGGACTTTCTAAGACACCATCTATGACAGAAAGAGCAAGCAAAGAATGCTTTTAAGACATTCAGATTTATAAACAACAGCTTCATATCCCCTTTACAAAGTCAATATTTGGCAACATTTGGATGATATTTCTACACAGCCCGGCAGCTCATATATCTGTAGGGCTACTTAGCCCTTTAAAGAAAAGCTTCTAAAATAAATTATCCACATTATTGCAAATGAAACATGTCACAGACTTGAGTTAACAGCCTCTGAGCAGTATTAATCTAAGCTATTTGACTGGAATATTATCAACTGGAGAAAGCTAGAGAAGACTCAGGAACCTACACAAGGAGCAGTGAGTCTCTGAGACTTAGGGTGGAGGTCTGTGTGACCCTGAACTGGAACCAACTTCACACCTACATATGGTAGATAAGCAAAACATATCCAAGTAGGAGTGAATATATGAAACAAGGAAAAAAAGAAAATAGAACATCCAAAAGTTAAAAAGTAAATGTTTCTCAAAATCCAATTGTAATTATCTCTTTAAGTCAGCTCACGTATCCAAAGGAACAAGTAATAAGCTGTCCAAAGGATGCTGGAGTTTGTATTTTTCAGTACAATTTGCTTTGGTCATGTGTCTGAAATTGCCAGGGTATTAGCAATCTAAGGAGAGAAAATCTCTACAAGAGGGGCCCAAGTTGACTTCTTTTTTGATTGCAAGAATAACTCAAATCCTCTCAGCTTCTCTCTAACTCAAATCCTCTCAAGTCTCACCATAGTTAGAACATTCTGAACATGCTGTTCATTTTCAAGCCATTTAAGACCTTGGTTGAAACAAGAAAGATGTTGAAAAGAAGCTTGTGTCCTGTCTAGTTCATTACTGGTTTTTCTGTTTTCCACAACTGAGTTTTGCTAGTCATCTTGGGATCTCACAACTACAACTTTCGTTTTAGCCATCATTACTAGACTTTACTATTTTGAAGAATTGGCTTTCCTTCTCAAAGGGTTATCTCCTCTGGCATTTGGTAAACTATATCCCACAGGGCAAGTTTCAGAAAAACCCCTCAAAGAATACCAAAAGCACAACATAAGGGTAGTACCACCATACTAATTATTGCTAGTAAAAGATAGCATAGATGGCACCAAACTAATCTCATTGAAGAGGCACCCACCTCTTTGATCTGCTTTACTCTCCATTCTACTCTTTTCTCCACTAATATTATCCACTGCTGATACTTAGGGATCATCTGACTGCATACTTCAAACTGAAAAGTGAGAGCCCCTTTGGAAACAGCCTGGGACACCACAATAATCCATATCTGCTATTTCTATAGCTTATCATCATGTGTTTCAGGGCAATGACCTATTGGAGAGGGGTTTGACAAAAGGGGCCTAAGCTCATAACATCCTTAAGAATATGAAGAAGAAGAAGAAAGTCACACTGTGGCAAACTTTAAGAGTTCTTGAATATTTTGCCTGGCATATATTGCAAAGTGATTGCCTGTGAGATATAATAATTAGTAACACTAACAATACCCTTGATTTCAAGAATGCAGTATTAACCAGAGAGCTCAGGACCTGCTTTACTATCATGATGTCTTTTATGTGAAGACACACAGCAGGGCAAGCTCTGAAATTCACTTTTATTAAAAAAAAAATGGCCTCTATATGTGAGGTAAACTTTAAAAGATCAGTCATGCTTCAGGAGTTCAAAAGTCATGTGCTGCCATCTTCACTGAAAAGACCCCAAAATAAGAAGCCACTTGGGAGGCAACGGATCACATCTCAAAAGTGGTTATACTCTGCATTCATCAATGGCTGCCGTGCCAAAAGTGTATACAATATGACCAAAATCTCCACAAACACATAATGGATGTGTTTTTGTTACATACCCACTCCCTGCAATTGGTGAGACAATAATATAGCACACGATAATTGGCTAATAAATTATCTATACATCCAAACTCACTGAAGTACATATAATCACAACCTGGTTAAGTACTACATTTCCATCAGGATTTTACACATAATTGGCAGCACATGGCTAAAAACAACTGAAAACTTTTACGTATCTGTAATTTATAGCTTTTACAGTACATGGAACTAAAGTATAAACATAGATTCTGATGGTTGGCTGTGTCAAAAAAAAAGCTATTTAATTTTCACTAACATGCTCCCAAAAATGTTTTGAGGTTTTAAAAAAGGTCTAAGAGCATGATCGCCAATGTATATCCTTAAAAATACACATCTTAGTTACTTCTTAGACTAAATAATAAGCCTCCTTTTCCTTTCGTCTTTCAAGTGTAAAATCCTGGTTAGATTAAGGGCACTAATGAAAAGGGCAACCAGTAGCCACTAACTATTATAAACAGGTAACCCATCAAATGTTCAAGAATCAAAGATCAGCTGGTTTGTTTCATCTATTTACACATTTCACCTGGTTCATCTATTTACATGTTGTGTCTCCCTTTAGACTGTAAGCTTCTAGAGGACAGGGACTGTTTTGTTGTTGTGTCTGTATTCTTGGCACCTAACATAGCACCTTGAACACAACAGATGTTAACAAAAACTATTTTTGAATTTCATTATTCAAAGCAGTTCAAGCTCCAGTCTAAGTGAAATTCACCACTGGAAAGAAAGGATTTGGTAAGAAACACAAGGTAGGGTTGGAGGAGACATGGATAAAGGGAATGAAGAAAGGAGTGGTGACTTTTTAATGAACAAGTGATAATTAACTTCGTTCTTGTATTGTTACTAATGCAAGATAGTATAAATTACTCCGAGTGAAAATAAACCAAACACTCAGTAACAAAAACAAAACAAGTATTTAATGAAGAGGAGGGAGGTGGCATTTATCTGTTATTCTCAGAAATGCACTTCTAAATATCATTGTTCATCAAAAGTGCCAAGTGTTTATTCAAATAAATTGTTCAGGTGAAACGACAAATAAGACATTAAGTTTCTAACACTAACTAGTTACATGACTTTATAGTAAGTGATTTGACTTCTGTAAATTGACTTAGTTGAAGTTGGAGTGGATATTCTTTAAGGTCTTAAAGCTATAAAATCCTGAAACTATTATCTATACATCACTGATTATATACCTTTGTGAAGCTAATGTCCCACTTAAATATTAATGAAATCAGTATCTGTTCTGTACAATTCAAAAGGAAACCAAGAGAGGAAGTCAATTCCTACTAAAGGACATAAGACAAGAGTCTTGACCTTCTCTTTTGAAAAATGAGTCATAGGGAAAAAAAAAAACCTTCAATTTAAAGGGAAAAAAATCAAACGCTTAGAATTTTCATTATACTTCAGGTGATAAAAATATTAACCAATTTTTACATAAATATTATTACTCTGAAATAGACTGTAAAGTGTAGTAGGGAAAATAGCCTTTTAAGATGCAGGAGACCTAGAATTATCACACTGGATAGCCTTTGGGGGAGAGGTTGGTCTTCATATAGGGATGAATAAAATGACTTTTAAATCCTTGTCTTCTGATCTAATTACCATCATCTCTGGACTGTTTGATTTTGTCCTTTTTTAGTCACATAAGTATTTCTGTAGTTAAGTTTTATTTTTCATAAATCAGATGACTTCCTTAGGAAGAATTAAGTAAATTATGAGAATAAAGTAAAGGAAGGAATTTATTAGTAAACCAATGGGAGTTACAATCCTAAATTCTTTCAGAGAGAAATGAAATATAAACCTGAATAAAGTCCCCTACTTAGTCCTCTCTTTAAAATGCAAAATAGTATTTGTTTCAGTTTGGCATCTGAAAACTTAGGTATACATATACATCTACATACAAATATACACAGGCAACCCCAGCATAACCACATTTAGCTGGTAGGTTTTAAAGGATAATCAACACAACTAAAGATCTTTTCTATTAAAACACTGGAGAAATGCTAACTTGAGTTCTCATACAGACTAATGCATCTTTATTAAAACATCAATGCACCTAGAAGTGGGAAGGAAAGAGAAAAGTGAGATGAGTAGGTTGTCTTACTCATCCATTTGACATTAATCTGGGGACCACAGAATCCTGAAATGATTTCACATCATATACCATGCACAGCTTGTAAGCCAAAACATTTTAGAGCTATTGCTAAGTAACAATAGATTTAGCAAAGAGAGATATCACACATTTGTTTAATAAGCCTCTTATCACACTGTGGCTCAAAAATCCCACGTGTAGAGAGGCATGATAGGCATTCAAAGCTTGTTTTATCATTTGTTAATGCAAACTAACAAATAACCACAGAAGAGACATCAGTGGACCTTCACCCTTAAATACTTTAAATACTCGATTTTAAGTCCATTGATAGCCCCAAGAGGAAAATAAGTGAAATTTTCAACTACGTATTACCCAGTCTTTAACAAGGACTAAGGCCTCATGCTCAATCTCAAAAGTGCAACTGCATAAATAATGCCAATATGATTAACCAGTACATGATCACAGCTCCTGCTGTGACTCATGATTTAGATCAAGCTTAAGTTTAATTTTGTAGTTTTTCATTTTGTTTATAGAAAACTAAATATCTTACAGCTCTCTAGTCATCAGGCATTAGTGTTCTGACACAGAAAACTTCATTATCACAACTCATGCCTTCTACAATTGGCCATGTCTACCTTTATTTAAAAAAAATACACTGTGGATTTTTTAGTTGAAAATTTTACTCTTGAATTGAGTGTTCTTTTGCTAATACTGTATTCATATCAAGTGAGGTTCACTGATAGAGAACAAACTTCATGCTCTTGATTGCTGAATATTTACAAAACACCTACAGACCTTTACATATCATTTAAACATTATAAAAATGACTAGTAAGCAATTTGAAAACCTTGCATTTCAGAATCACATCATTCGACAGCTTTCTTTCAATTCACTTATATATCACTAACTAAACCCTCTTCTGTCTCACAGAGAAGAATTAGCTAAAAATAAACACATAAATCTACCTAAACCAAACAGAGAACAGCTGGTGAGTAAGTGATATGCATTACCACTGAAATCAAGATGGTGCCAACAGAAATCCAGGAGAGCCCACCTATGGAAAAATAGGCAGGTGAATATAAAAATAAGCACTCTCTGCTTCTCTTTTGTTGTGCAATGAAATGAGTAAAAAAGACCAGAGTCAGACCCTAGTTCTCTTCCTGGCTCTATGTGAAATGATTTCACACCTCTCTGGGTCTGTTATCTCAGTTATAAAATAAGGGGTTGGGAATAAATGATTTCTATGATCCCTATTAGCCCTAACATTCAACTCTGTTAAGTCCATTCAAATTTGTATTTGAAAAAAAAATAAATTGTACTGGTGTGAAGATCTCTGTGTATGTAAATCTTGTCTTTTAGTCAGCTGATATGAGGAGTAGAAGGGACAGCTGTGTTGGCTGTATCACTGGTAAATATCACAGCAGAAGTTCATTCAAATACAGGAGGTTAAAATGAATTTCTGTAGGGCCCTTAGCTTTTTTTTTAAAAATGCCTGACTATTCACAAACGAAAATGAATATGATACACAGGTACACTAATAAATCCACTTTACAAAATTCAAAAGTAATAAGAATTTTTTTAATCTCAAATTTTTCAAAGTTGAATAAAGTAGCAAGACCAACAATCTGTCACTGAATGAATTAGTTTCACACTGTTTAAGTGCAAAATCAGAACTAGATTGTTAACTCTAACTTCCTGAATAATTTTTATTGTAGGGTCTCATACTAAGAAACACAGAATATCCTAGGTTAAAGTAGGTTAAAGCCTAAGATAACCTACTTCACACAAGGGGAGCATTATTAGATCATACGTTATACTATAAGGTAGTCCATTTCTACACACTGTGCTACATTTAGTCTCCAATATTTATAAAAATGTGGCACAGCTTAAAATGTGAAGTGTAAAGATCTTTTGAAAGTAACTTTTTAAAAAAGAAAAATGCATTTTCCAATTTGCTTATGCAATAGAAACAAGCAAATGTCTAGATAAGAAATTTAGGTCAGACATACATTACAGCATCCTGGGAGAGAATGAGAAATTGACACTAACCCAATAGTATACTGTGTTACATAATACAGGAGAGCAGTCAGCTAATATGATACCTAAATTATTAATACCAAATAATTTCCAGATTTGTTGTATAATGCCCAATGAGTTATACAATATGGCATTTTAACCTAATTTCTTGTCTTTCCAAATGAATTTCCTAAATATCTCAAGAAAAAGAATTGGACACATTCAGCAATCCTACTACTGCATCGTTAAGTAGACATCAATACTAAAATAGTCACACCAATTTCCCCTCATATTATCCTTTTGGTGTTTATTCCAATGCCTTATATCAGATGAATTCCACTGTTATACACAGTTTTAATGTGTGAGAGATAATACTTAAATAACTAAATACAAAATAATGAATCTGTTCCATATTTTTACAGACTACATTCCCAAATGTGGTTATTAGGGACCTGCCTGTCAATTTCTATTTCTCCTCATTTTCCTTGATTCAATGGAACTTGGAGATCACCAAAAGTTAAGTCCTATTCACATGTTATTTGATTTACCATAGTCACATAAAATTAGAATTATCAAGCCCACAGATTTGTTGGGTTTTTTGGTAAGGAAAAAAATGGCAATGGACAGAGATCTGTCATTTAATATTAGACCCTCCTTCACCAGGCCATGTGAGGTAATAAACAGTGAATTTTATCATTTCAAACAGGAATATATGAGGCTAAATTAGCTTGCTACTTTTTTCAACATGTAGATGCTTTCTTTTGTACTGACACTCCTCTATTTTTGTACCAACAATTAAAAAAAATACAATTCCAAGTGGTTTTATCACCCTGTCAACATCATCTTCCAAAGAAGCATCCCATAAAGTGTATTTATCCATAAACCCAGATCTATCATCAACTGAACACACCCATCACCATTTAAAATTCAGAGAAAAAATGAAAATATCACCTCCAGTTTTTGCCATACCTCCAACCCCAAAACATAAGAGAAGAGATCAAGGTGACATATGTACGCTTCTTCATAGAAATGATTCAGTCTTCCCATGATATAACTTCTTGAAAAATTTCCCTCATGTCCATAAAGGTCTAGCATCCCAAATACTTTCTGAAAGGATTTTAAAACCTGAGGTAAATAAAATGCAGAGGTGTGTGCACACATACGTATTTACACATCTGATACTTGTTTTGCAAAATGGCTTGAGAGGAAAAAATATGCAAATTTTCAGCAGGAATAAATCTTTCCTTCCTTGTTATTTGTTTTATTGCTTCTCTGTAGGGCTCTGCACTTCAACAAACATATAACTTTAACTACAGATAAAGACAAAAGGACAGTGCATGACAAACACATCACACATGAAACACCCCCCCCAATATTTGCTCTGGAAAAACTATAGTCCATTTAACTTATTTTAATTTAGGTGCAATTCCAAAGGTATAAAAATGCCTTATCAACTAAATCAAGACTGAGTTCTTGTTTGAAACAGTTTCCATCTTGTTTAAAAAAAAAAAAGGAAACCAGCATTGCATACCTGTTACATTGATTCTCATGTTTATTCTACTTCTATACATAGCATTTTGATTTTAATCTACTGCATTTAGAGATCACATCTTATATACTTGTACAGTATAACATCTAGGTAGAATATGTTTTAACATGATAAAATCATAAATTACAGTTCATTTAATAAATTATTATGGTGATACATGCAATCTCCTTCCAAGCTGTGACCATCACTCAGTACAGTTTCCCTTGTATCTTGTTGAGAGGTCCTGCATTCTGCCTTTCGGGTCTATCTTCAGATAATTAAGTGGCTTACCCAGTGCCCAGTGCCCTGCACCAATTGGTCAGTGTTGCCGTATACACCTCACTGTGATCCCATCACCAATACCTTCTCAACCCCTAAGTTGGCACACATGTGGAATTTCACTCTGCAGCCTTCCTCAGCCACAGGAGATCACAGTGAAGCGCTTAGAAATGCAAGACATGTTGTGGAGAACGATGCCGAGTAGGAAGACCAAGACGCAGGCCACCAAGATCACAGTGCAAACCCCTGACCAGGTGGAGCTTTTCACCACGCCCCTCCTGTCTTGCTCCTCCTCCACCACCGCATCTTGGGGAATCCCCCCCTGGAGAGGCTGCTGTTCTGTTGGGATCGTCACCACAGTGACAGACTTTTGCTGGCTACCTGGCAACAGGCGGCAGCCAATGTCTCCCGGCAATAATGCTCGCTCTTTGGAGATGGGTAAGGGTAGCATGTAACACCCATTGCTAGGAAGTTTGATGAAGACAGGAGTGTTCTCCGAAGTGTGAGGGATTGCAATCACTGCAAGCACCTCAGGATCATCAGGGAGTTGGGAGACGGAGAACCCCGGGGGAAGCTTGGTGATACCCCGGCACCAGGGGCACCTCAGGTCCTTCTGGCTTGTCCTCATTTGCTGGAGGCAAACTGAACAGCAGGTATGTTTGCAGTCTAACAACTTGGGCCTCCTTCGGGGGCTGTAATAATTGAAACAAATCTGACATTCCAGCAAAGAATCTTGAGAAAGGGTCTCCATCATCACCTCTGGGCAGGGAGGGGCAGGTTCAGGACCTTGGGGTTTCCTCCACAATCTAAAGTAGGGTGGGGCTCTGCTCAGGATACACTCTTTTCTTGGTGTCCTTCCAATGCAGGAAAGTGACCAGGAAGTTCACAGGCATCTAGGACATTTGGTCATGCCTGAAGGAAATACAGAACACAAATAAGTTAATTGAAGAAGTCCACCCTAACTCAGGAAAAGAATGGGTATCTGTGCATATGTTTGTCCTATTTCAAACCACCTGAGAATTCTTTTTTTTTTCATCCAGAAATATAAAATGGGAGATTTATAGCAGCCAGACACCGCTCTCCACCTTCCACACTCAGAAAATCACTAGCTGTTTGCAATCTTAACCTTTTCTCCACAAAACCTTCAAGAACATAAATCTAAATTAAGTCTTGACAATGAATAAGGATTCTAAAAGCATTTCTACCCTTAAGACTATGGACGACCTAGGATGTATGGAAGGTAATGTTAATGAAAGCTGCATGTATAAACCAAGGCAATTCTATGCTTCAAATAGGTTCCCAAGGAGAATGAGATTCATTTTTAAAGAAACAAATACTTCAGTAAACTCCATTAGGTCCCTTCACTTCCTCAGGGAATGAATTTTTTTTTCAACATTTCTACATTATCAAAGGAATGCGAGTTCACTTTCCTGCTAGGACAAATCCTAGAGACATCAAATAATTGAAAACTTTTCCTTAATTCCTTCACTGTATAAACTCATCTATATTTTTTATCTTTTTTTTTGTTTTCTTTGCCTCTCTTGGCCCCAATAATAACAACATATTCATTTAGCCCTTTTAAGTTTGCAAAGCACTTTACATATGTCTTATTTGAGCCTCACAACAATCTGGAGGAAGGTACTATTTGCATTATTATCCCCATTTTACAGATGAGGAAACTGATGCTGAAAACCAAGGTTAAATGACTTTTTTGTGCTCCCATGTTAAGTGTCTGAGTGTCAGAGATGGTTGGTGTGCAAACACTCCTAAAAGATAATTTTTCTCTGACCTCTGTGACCTTGTCACACCAACACTGCTTTCTTCCTATCAATCAGCCAACAAGTATTTATTAAGCACCTATGTGTCAGCAACTGTGTCAGATGCCAGGATTACAGAGACGAAACTAAAACAGTTCTACCCTTAAGGAACTTACACTCTATCAAAACAACATGTACATATAAGTGTGCGTGTATATATATATATATGTAAATACAAAGAAAATTTGGGAGTGGAGGAAGGGATTGGCAGCTGGGGTGGAGGAGGTAGCTACAAAAGATGTGATATCGAACTGAGCTTTGAAGAACTAAGTGGTGAGGGAGAATTGCACTCAGGGATAGGATAGGAAATCACTTGTGCAAAAGTCAAGAGTGGAGATGAAAGGTGAGGAATGAAAAGGAACGGGCAACATGATATATAATCCAGCGAGCAAACAATACACATTTATTAAGTGCTTATGTGCCAGGACAGTGGAAATAGTGCTGGCTTTTGAATCAAGAGGATCTGGGGTTCAAATCCTGACTCTCTTGCTTCCTTGAGCGAGTCTCAACCTCCCAGGGTCTCAGTTAGATTAAATGTCTTCTGAAGTTCCCCCCAGTTCTGGGTCTCTGATCTAAGCTATGACTGAATTTGAGTGCATGCATGAAGGAGAATAATATATAATATGACTAAAAAGATAGGCTGGGGCCAGATTGTGAAAGATGTAAAATGCCAAATAAAGGAACGAATCTGAATTTGACCGAAAGTCACTAGTTTTTAAAGCAATGACTTTGGGGAATGACATGGGCAGACCCATGCTTTAGGAATATCACTTTCACGGCTGTATGGAAAATGAACTGCAGGAGGAAGAGACTTGAGGAAAGGAAACCAAATGGGGGTTTAAGTATACTAGTTCAAGCAAGGGTTAATGATGGCCTCAACTACATGACTGACTAGAGAGAAGGGAATGGATATTTGCTATGTTGTAGATAGAGGTAGAGCCAACGGGACTTTGCAACTAGCTGAATGTGAAGGATAAGGAAAAGTGAGGAACCAAGAATAACTCCAAGATTGCAAACCAAGATCACTAACTGGAAGACGCTGAGGTTGCAAACTAGAAAGACTAGAAGTATGCGGACACTTCTCACAAAAATAAGGAAAATTAGGAAGAGTGGTAGAAAGGATGATAATCATATGTGCTGGGCAGGTTGAGTTTGAGACGTCTGCAGGATACCTAGTGTTGGTGACTTTCCCTCATAAATGCCTCTAATAGATTCTGATCACTTTCAATAACTTCCTAATCTTACACATACAGCATATGTATAGAATATTTCTTATCCAAGTAGCTTAAAAGTTCCTTATATTAAGATTCTTAAAGACTGATGATGAAACATGTTATCCACCTCCTGACAGAGGCGACTGACCAGAGTGAAGACCTGAGACATGTTTTGTTTTGATATGGTCAACATGGAAATGTGTTTTGCTTAACTATACATGTTTGAGACAGAGATTTTGTTTTTATTTCTTTCTCAATGTGGGAGGGAGAGAAGGTGGATTTTCATTGATTGAAAAAAAGTAAAATTTGGTTTTAACATTCCACAATAATAAACAATCAAAAGGGATCATCTTTCCCTTCTATGCCATTACTCTGTCTGACCATGTCGTTTTTCAACCAAAGACACACCTGACCAAATACTGTTTTTGACGATCAAACATTGGTACAGAGAAAGAAGATACAAACACTCTTAAAATGCTATTTGCCATTATAAGCTTAAGCTTTGGTAACCTCTTCATCCTTGTTCATCTCCTCCCTAGCTGCAAAAGGAAAACTTTTGCCAGGTATCATTAACTCACTGATCATTATCAACTATTAAAAAATGAAAACCTGATTATATGCAAATTAACAAAATATCCTGCAAGTTTGACATAATTTCTATTTAAGTGAATCCCATTTTTTCTCTGAAGTCTATGGTAAAATTAAGGGTGAACTGTCTTGAAAAGCACTTTGGCCCACGGGTGTAGTAATATAGTTAAAAGGGTATTGGACTTGGAGCCTGGATTTGAATCTAAGAGCCAACATTTTTTAGCTATGGTGACTGTGAATACATCACTAAGACTCTCTGAGCCTCAGTCTTAGAGGGAGTTTCCTCATATAGAAATACCTCATACCAATGAAATCACAGGTACAGTACCTAGCAGGCACTTAACAAATATTTTCTAAATTGTTGAAAATTTGGTTTCTGACTCAAATCTTGCCCCTCTCTAATCCATCCTCCACCCAACTGCCAAACTTATCTTCTTTTTTTTGGCATGTTTTATTAGATAGACAGGTAGGTAGATAGATAGATGGATGGATGGATGGATGGATGGATGGATGGATGGATGTTGTTAAATTACTTCAGTCATGTCCAACTCTTTGTGACCCTGTTTGGAGTTTTTTTGGCAAAGATAAAGAATGTTTTGCCATTTCCTTCTCCAGCTCACTTTACAGATGAGGAAACTGAAGTAAACAGAGCTAGTACATGTCTAAGGCTGTATTTGAACTCAGATCTTCCTGACTCCAGGCCTTGTGCTCTATCTACCACACCACTTAGCTGCCCTAGATAGATAGATGGTATGTGTGTGTGTGTGTGTGTGTGTGTGTGTGTATGTGTGTGTATGCATTTGTGTGTACTTATATATATGTGTACATACACATATACAATATAGTTAGTATATTCATATAATTTATAAACAAGCAAATGTATACATATTAGGGAAATGTCAATTTTTTTTTATTGATAGGAGTGTGTGATATGAAAAACTTGGTAACATGAGGACCTTAGAACAGGTGCTTAATAAATGCTAGTTCCTAATATTGCACCTTAGCCTAAAGAGAAGACTCTGGGAGAAATTGGGCTGTCCTCAGGTATTTAAAGCACTGTCACATGGAAGAGGAATGAGACTTTTTCTGGTTTGGCCTCAGAGGGCATAACTAGGAGCATGACAAGGTAGTAATAACCAATTTCAGCTTGAAGGAAGGAAAAATTCCCCCCAAAAGGGAAGTCTTCACAAGTGGAAGGGGCTGGTTACCTTTAGACATTGTGTGTTCCCTCTCTTGAAGTAGAACCAGAATGCCTACTTGTCAGGGATATCAAGAGGGACAGAGGAGGCCAAGTGAAGAGTTCCTGTTAAGAGTTCCTATATGGCTTCTCAGTCTCTCCTCTCAGATTCTATAAATGCTTGTTCATGTGAAATAGTCAACAAGAGAGCAAAACATAGTGTGAAATACTGCTGCCGCATTAGGTGTTGGGAACGAAGAAGAGTTGTAATCCTTACCCTGAATGAGGTTACGTTCTGGAGTAGGGATGAAAGGATGCAATACAACACACATACAGGTAAGTAGGATACATCCTAGGGAAACATGGAAGCCAATGAGGAGAGATCTAGACAAAGTATCTACTGAACACTTGAAGGGTTGAACCAAGGTGGCACCTAGACTAAGTTTTAAAACATAAGGCTTCTAAAACACAGAATTGGGGAAGGAGTACATCCTCAGGAACAGGGAAGCTGCAAATTCTTACAAATGGAGGGCAGCTTGTAAAGCATAAAAAACAACTAAAAGTCCATTTGGCTAGAACACAGAGTTCATGATGGAGAGTAATGTGAAATAAAGCTGGAATGGCAATTTAGAGGCAAGACTGGGGGGGGGGGGGTCTTAAATGCCATGAAACAGATGTTGTATTTTATCTTGACAGCAATGGAGACACACTGAAGGTTTTTGAGCAGCAAAGAAAGAGGGTCTGACTTGTGTCTTTGGGAGGCTTTTGTGGCCAGTGTGGAAAGAATGGATCAGAAATCTCAGAATGGCATCTGGGAGGCCAGCTAGGAGGTGATGAAGGACTGAATTAGTGTGGTACTCATATAAATTGGGAAGGAATACAGATTTCAGAGATATTATGGAGTTAGGATAGGAGATTTGGTAAGTGAATGGAGGTAATTGGGGAGAGGAGCTTTTGACCCTGGGTAATGGAAGGATGCTAATTATCCTCAACAAAAATAGAAAAGTTGGGGAAGGGGAGGGTTTTGGGGAAAAGAAGATGAATTCACTTTCAGATAATGAGCCTAAAAGCTAGTGGGTCATTAAGATAGAAATCTTTCTACCTAACTGCTTCGGG